ACACACACAGACACACACACACACACATGCACACACACAACACACACACACATGCACACACACACACGCACACACATGCACACACATGCACACACACACACAACATACACTCACACACATGAACACACACCCACACATGAACACACTAACACATACATAAACATACTTATACAAGCACATACAGATACACAAAGACAAGCAGACACTACTGCTTATAGTGACCTTTGGTTAGTTCAGTGTCCTCTGTTTCGATTGGTCAATTTCCCTTGTTTTGTTTTTTTCAAAGCAGCAGACTCATGACAGTATAATGGTTAGAATATTTGCCGTTGCATAAAGAATTTTTGAAGTTAATGCCCACTTTGGGAAGTTAACTTTATGGAATATAATGTCCGTCTGTTTTCTGGGATGCTCTATCCTGGTCAGCTTGGGTTGGCCCTGACAGACAGGGTAAGAGAAATGTCAGCTAACCCTATCCGTACGCCTGGAGTCATTTTGTACCCCCAGGGGTTGTATTGTTCACATTTTAGAATACTTCTAGTGCAAAGATCTCTTTGAAACTTTCAGTATTTCTCGAAAGATCGTTTTGACTGACTGCTATGCAAAGCGTGCGGATCGGATTAACGAGTAAATTTCCTCTTTGGGAAGTGGGGCTCAGAGTTCCTCACGTCGTATGGATACTATAGTAAAACACGACGTACGGATAGGGGTAAACGATTCATTTGAGGCTGGTGCTTTTTTTTATTGACTTGTATTAATTCCTTTTAAAAAAAATAAATTTTTTTAATATTATAAATTCAGTCTTTCAGAGTTATTTTTTGTTTTTCGTTTTTTTCCCCTTCTAAATAGTAGTTGAGAAATGACTATACAGAGGCGACTTCACATGAAACAAAATGAATCTACAGTGTAAGAGTGACTCAAACAAAAAACAAAAAAAAAAAGCAAAGAAAGCTGTGTACAGTAATAGTTGTATTCTGGTTTATGTTCCATCAGTCTTGATATAACGACCGTTTACATTGGAACAGTTTCTGGTTCTAGTCCTGCTTTGCCTCCAATTTGAACCCTCCACCCAAGCTTAAATGCCCTTTGTTCCTTTGTTCCTTCTGTGCTGTGAACTGTTCTTTTGAATGCTTATGTTTGCCCCACCTGTGTTTTTTAAATATAATTACCAGACTTTTGTCGTTTTTTTGTGATTTGGTCTTTTTCTTTTAATTACAAATTTTTTTTTCTTAATGAATTTGAATGTTGAAATTTTGACTTTGATTTGTAACTGTGTACTTACTTTGCATGCTGCATGATTTTTTTTTTAGTGTCCTCCCTTTGGCTGTGCGTTCGTTTCTGGTTTCGTTATTTTGTTTTGGACACCTTGACCTTGAAAAAATAGATGATGACAGGTGAGTGTTCTGGCTCTGTAAGTTGTTTTTCCAAAGTGGTTTCAGTAAGTCCGTTTAAATTACTTTTTAATCGTAATTATTATTATCAAGATTGTTATTATTATTATCATTGTTGTTGTTGTTTGTATTTTTACTTTTTCTTTTTTTCTTGTCTTTCTTCTTAAAACTTTTTTTACTTGTTTATCTGAAGTTAATACAATCAAGAGTCAAATTGTGTCATCATTTCCGTTCTTCACCTATAGTAATACACAGCATTACCATTTGTCTTGCAGCTAGCCAAAATATGTTTCTGACTTTTTCTTCTGTTGATGGATGATTAGAGGGTTCCACGGTTAGGAAAAAGTTTCTTCTTTTAAGTGGGTTTTTTAAAAAATATTCTGCATTCTCATTTAATGAGTCCCTGGTCATCTTTAATGAAGGTGTTTTTAAATTGTAGGTGTCAGGGGAAATGTTTGTCAAAAAGTTGTAAACTTCTCTTTTGGGAAGGAAAAGTTCCTTCCAACATCATAGTATAAATTAATTCTTACAATGTACTTGTGCCTGGAATCGCGGTTGAGTGGAGGACGCCATGAGTAGGTCCTACTTCTTTTCTTTTCCACACTGGTGTTTTTGTCTTTTTTTCTGGCTCTGTCCCAGCACGAAATGACTGCTCTGGAACCGATGTGCTTCTTTTTACTCAAACTGAATATCCGGAGCGAGCTTATGAGAAGTATTGATTTACTCTTGGAAAACCGAAATAACTACATGATTAGAAAATGTTATTTTGAACTGAAAATTCCTAGCGAAAATCAATATTGGCAAGCTGCTGACAATTGTCCCAAATGTCAAGTGGATGTGTAGAGATTATGGTGATGGAATGTTATGTAAATGCTCTGTTTCAAAACATTGCTTCCTGGCAATTGTATCTATTGTAAATAACGTCATATGCATTTACTTATATTTCTATGTACATATGTTTCCATAAAGTCTTGTTTGTATAACATGTCTCGTTTGATGTACTTTGGAACATGAGTGGCATTGCATTTGTTAAGGAATGAATGAATGTTGGGTGGATTTGGTGTTGTTTTCACTATTGACCAGTGTCCACTCGTACACCAGCCTGGGAGAGGGGGTTGGGGGGTGGGGGTGGAAGAGTTATTGTGGAGTCTGAGAAGGAGGGGGGGGGGGGGAGAGAAGTAATTTTTTTTTAAAAGCAGACCAAAGTAAAACAAAAATGTAATAACATTTTAAAACTTTGTAAATTGTGAGACCTGAACAGATGTAGGTTGTGAGGGTTAGAGAGGGAGGTAAAGGAAGAGAGAGTGAAGGAAATAGCTTGTGTTCAAGTGATTGAGTGGCCTGAAGTGACAATGGGTGAGAAAAAGGTAAAGTGAGTGAGAGGAGAAGAGTTTTCTGTAGCCATAGAGACATTGGCAGGGATGCATGAGATTTTTTGCTTGTGTGGAGCACCACTACTCATGCCTGCCACCTGCTATTGTTGATATCATGCCTTGTCCTGCGCTCACTTCGCTTTCCCTGAGGTGTAGCCTGGACGATCTCCATTCCACCTAGGTGAAATACAATATTACACCAAACTCTCCCAATACCCCATCTCGGTGAAATACAATGTTGCCCTCTCCAATACCCCATCTCGGTGAAATGCAATGTTACACTCTCGAATTTCCCATCTCAGTGAAATAGAATGCTACATTTTCAAATCCGGAATGGATGAACTTTTTGGAATGAATAAGGACATGGACCACTCTGTGAGACTTGTAGTAATGATGTTTAAAAGTGTTAAGTTTGAGAACATCTTCCTTCGTAGTCACTCTCCCAGGTTTTACCTCGAATAGTGAATGCAAGTATCCGTGGGCAGTGGTTTGTGTGCTGGGCAAATCTGGACCCAGTACAATGTTACATGATGGGTCGGACTGAGGTCCATTCAAACGGACAACATCTTGAATGTCTCACAAGTGTTGGAAAAAGTTCCATATTTGTTGCGCCCTTTTTGAGGAAACGTTTATATCCTCACTATTCACCTTTTTGGAGGTTTCTGTTTCTGTTATTTTCTCATAAAAATTCCACATTTTCCCCCCTCATTTTTCTTTTCTTGAATTTCATTGCATTTTTTTCATTAACTTCTGATGTTGCTTTAAAAAAAAAAAATTTGACTGGAATGTTGTTCCACTGAGATCCTGAAGTTTGATTGTTTGTGTATTTGTGGTGTGTGACCCTGATGACCCATGCCGCTGCTCCATATAGCTTTGTTTAACGTTGTACCGTGGACACTGGCTCTGTTTTACTTGTTTGTTTCTCCTGCAGATTTTACTGTGCTCAAGTCCTTCCCTCCACCCCCTTGTGTTTTCATGTGATCTTTGTTACTCTTTGATATTTTGTAATAATATATTAATAGTAAATTGCATTTGTAAAGTACAAATCCTAATGACAAAGTCAGATGTATGTGTTTTAGTATTTATTATTATCCCAACAGACCGTGTCATATTCAGAAACATTCTCAGCTTCCCAGGAGGCATTCAGGGAAAGCTTCTATTTTGATAAAATATACAATTAAAGTTATATATATGATAATGACCAAAGTGCCTAGTTTTACCTGATGTGTTTTGCAAGTTGTGTTAAAATATTTATTAAGCAAGTGCAAGTTTGTCTTGCCTCCCATGAATTATTAAATTTGCCTTGAAAAATATCATTTGACCATCAGTTTTGAACTGTTAAGCCTTCATTCTTAAGTTTGCAATGATAGGCGTTTAAAAAAATGAAACGTAGACAGTGGAGAAGTTGTTTAGGTAGGTTATGATTAGACGTTATGGGCTAAGATGAGCTGTTGCCATTTTCGAGAGTCAGATGGTCTTTCTCTGTCCACAACTTGCTAATGATCAGTATTTGGAGGTGTGTGGGTCATGCATTTTTAGCTTGAATTATTGCCTGATTTTTTTTTTCCCCTTTTCGTTTCTCGCATCAGTTCTTTTTTGCCTTGCTTTTTTTCAGAGTTTGTATTGCTTGTTTTGGTAGCAAATTCTCCCTAGGTATGCAGGCAAAGCCGGTGAAGGGATTTGGGTTGTGGGGCTCTGAAGGGAGTTGTAAAGATTTACTTTGAAACTATTTTTGTTTCTTGGAACAGTTTTTTATTTTATTTTCCATTAAGCATTGCCTTCAAATTATTTGTGGCTTTGTTTTATTCTCTCAAATTCTGTTGCTCTTAATTGGTCCAATATTTTTAGTAGATGATGACCTTAAGAAAAGTTTTAATGATTGTCCACATTTCCTCATGTCTTGTTGTTTCTGTGCTGGTTTTGTAGGCTCAGGATCGGCAGCCAGTCACCCGTCAGTCGCTGTGGCAGCTGCTTCCTCATTGGATAAGAATCATCCGGATGACTCAACCCCTCCTGATTTGTCCAATCATTCGCGGTCTTCATCCAAAAAGTCCAATCACAGTATACATAGCGTTCACAATGGTAAGTTATACAGTTGGGGAGAAATGTCACTGACTAAGACAGCTTGATCAGTCTCCATCGGAAGATTTTGATATTTCACATGACCAGTTGATGCAGGATGGAGTACACAGAAGTTTAATGACAATAGCGGTCATTTTTATGTGTGGGAAATGTAAGACAGATAGAAAGAAACAACAGAGGGATAGCAGAGAAGTAGGAGCTGCTGCCGGTGGGGCCTTCAAACTACTCACAAAGATCAGCTTGATCTAATGGTAATCGGCTCAATAAACGATAATGATCTTTAATGTATGATTGTATATCTGCCATCATGTTGACAGTTATGACAAGCTAGCCCTGTGTCAGGTTTAGGTACATGTAGATGATGCAAACGCGCTTATTTTAAATGAGTTTAACTGCTTATGGTTAATCTTCTGTAAAATGAGTTATCCAGTTTATGTCCTGACTCCTGTAAACTGAGTTTCCTTTTATTATCCTGTCTCCTGCTAGATGTGTTTTCCAGTTTATGTCCTTCATTCTGTAAAATTAGCTTTTGCATGTTCTTCTCCTTAACTCAACGAATAGTTAAAGGATGCCTGTTGCCAGTCCTACTTTTTTACATTTCCTGTAATGTTTCTTGCCTGTCTCTGCCTTTCTGGTTCTCAACACTAAATAACCGTCATCTTGTCACTGTGCTCTCATATAACTGTCCCCGTGGTTTTATGCACCCCCGCATAATTTAGCAAAATTTGATCATTTTTTGCATAATTTCTTATTATTTTGCTTTATCATTCTTGGTTAAAATTAGCAGAATCGCATTGTAGTTTTTATCTTATGTTACCTTTCACTTCCAACGGCGTAGATCTCGTGGGTCCCTGGGCGCCCGGCGACTGCTATGTGTTGTCTCTGTTACTGCTAGGACTGACGCTCTCTCTTCTCACGTTGAGTTTTTAGTCTCCAGTCGATCTTGTTTGTACTCATCAGTGCACGGGGAAAAACTGCTACCCGTGCATCACCAATTGGCCAGAAAGTCGAACCTAAAACTAGTCAGGTTTTGGGGACGTGAAAGGCTAAAATATTGGCCCTACAGCATAATGTCAAATTTTTGGGCTCAGTTTACACAATTTCATAATTTTTCTTGCGTGAAACGACGGGGACAGATATAATCAAGGAAAGCCGAGCGCTCTGGTGTTGTCTGCTCCATCTTGCCAATCAAGCATCTCTTGTCACTATCTCTCCTGCTTTTCTTTGTATGTTGCTCTCTAGTAACACCTCAGATTTTTAGGGCTTATATGACCTATTTGTGTTGAATGTGCCAATATGTGTTGCAAGTGCAGTAAAACTCTAACTACCAAAACACCTCTAATCTTTGGCACTTTTGTAGCCAATATTTTGTTGCAAGTGCCGTTAAACTCTTACTCACTAAAACTAAACTGAAAAAACTATGTATTTGTTTTTGCCAGGCCCCCTTCTGGACGGCAGCGACCCCTGGATCCGCCAGTCCAACTCCTCCCTACTGCGTACCAACGTAGACCTGAAGGCGGTGCGGAACCGATCCATGAGCTTAGAAATCAAAACTGGCCACATTTACCTGAAGGACCTGGTCTGTTACCTGTCTTTGCTGGAGGCGGGCCGGCCACAGGATAAACTGGAGTGTAAGGGGCTTTCCCGGGGGGGGGGGGGGGGGGGGGGGGGGATTGATGTGTAATGATAGTGATTGTCCTAATTGCCCCTGTTGCAATGATAATGAAGATAATAATTACGATCATAATGATAACATCGATGATGATAGTACTAATGATGATAATGATAATGATCTGGACTTTCAAACTCTTGTAAGCCCCTTTTTTTCCTTATTTCTCTGTTGTTTCTGTCTGTCTATCTGTCTGCCCCACTCTTTCCCAACGTTAAATGACTGTTATTGTGTTTATGCTACTGTTTACTCAAATTCAGTTATATAAAGCATGAACTGAAATATTACAGTGTGTCACTACATAGCGTGTAATGGAGTAAGCCAATGTGTTGTCTACATAGCGTGTAATGAAGTAAGCCAGTGTGTTGTCTTTAATAAAGAAATCCCACTGTCTTGTTCCCAGTTATGTTCCGCCTCTATGACACGGATGGCAATGGCCTTCTGGACTCTTGTGTAAGTACTGGCTTGTGTGTAAGTGTGTGTGTATGCATTTGTGTGCATTCGTTTGTGTGTGTGTGTGTGGTTGTGTGTTTGGTTTTGTGTGTGCGTGTATAGTTGTGTGTGTGAGTGAAAGAAAGAGAATTAATGTGTGTGTGTTTGTGTCTGGAGAGAAAATTAGGTATCGTTTTTATCTCTTTTTTTTTCTTTTTTTCTTTTTCTTTTTTTTTTCTTTTTTTTTCTTTCCTATTCTCTAGTAACAATCTCCAATCTGCAGCGCTAACATTACCTGTATGTGTGTTGTAAGTGCTGTAAAACTTTTACTAAAACTAAAACTCCCAATCACTTGTACTGTTTCCCCAGGAGATAGAGTGTATTGTGAACCAGATGATGTCTGTGGCCGAGTACCTGGGCTGGGACGTCTCAGAGCTCAAACCGGTGAGTCGACTGAAACAGGACCATTGTTGATGAGACTGACTTTACTTTTCCGATCCAGAAGCCGTTGGGTTCTAGCCATATAATGGTTTGGCTTCAAACGCAGACGCGCTGTCCCTTCGGCCATCAGAACTTCCATGATGAGGCTGAAAGGGGGCCATTGTTGATGAGTAAGCCAAAGGGGGAGGGGGGGAGAGAAGGAGGATGAAGACCTGTCAGTTACACTTTTATCTTTTTTACCTACCTGACCAGTTTCCTCACTTACCAAGCCATTTGGAAGCGGTTTTTTAAAAAATCTGGTTGTCATCTGGATAAAAAAAGTTACTTCTTAAATTTTAAGAGAAACTCAGTTTGGCTAAACACCAAAATTCAGAGGAATTGATTTTATATCAAACAGAACAAAGAAAAAAATAGTAATCTGAGTATGAAATAGTGGTAAGGGTGTCCATGATGCAATGGTTAGGAGCTTTGTCATCATGTGGAGAAAACCCGAGTTTTACTGTGGGGGGAGAATATTCATTGAGTATGTCAGTCTTTTTGTTGGGATGTTGTATCCTTTTTAACCTCATAAATGATTTGTGAGTGCTGAAAACTCTAACCAAACTAAAACTGAAACATGGGCGGCAATAAGCAATTCACGACAGGGAAGGATTTAACATTGCGAAAAAGGCTTCAAATAATGGACTCACAATAATTCTTCCCACACGCCAACTCATCCCAGTTTACCTTCTCAGTGCTTGGAGAGGGCTAACAGTGTTGCAGCACATAGCGCTGTCTTTCTCCTATTCCATCATTGCCATTCTCTAAATACTCACATGTGACTAACAGGAGGACATTAACATGTTCTTATGCACAGTAGAATTGTAAATAGGCTGATTCATCAATGTCATGCTCATAACTGTGCCTGAACTGCAACAGGGAACTGCTGCTTTTCCTTCCCTAATCTTTACTGTCGTAATTTTTCCTCTACTTCTTTTGTTTGTTTGTCACACTCTTGTGAACTGCTATTTCCAGGATGCCTTGATAATCGAAGCAGACTTTGTGCTGTTGAAGCTAGAGAGGTACCAAAGCCTGCAAGGTATCCATACTGATTGTTCCAGTGGTTGTTTGATCATGGCAACGTCTTTTCTTTCCAGATATTCATTCCTTTCTTCCTTCTCCCTTCTCTATCCCCATTTCCTGCATCCTGATGATTGCGTGGTGTTCTGCTGTCTCCGCGTCTTCCTCATCCCGCAACTTTTCCTCCAGGGTCTTCAACACTTTTCCTTTGTCAAATTTCACCTCACCATCAACCACGGCACTGCCTGCCAGCCTATCAGCCTCCTCATTGCGAATGATTACAGTCAGTCATCATCTTCGGGCATTGCCTGTCAGCCTATCCATGCAAATGGTTACAATCAGTCATCAACTTCGGTCATTTCACTCTTCCCTAGATCTTACAAGACATGATGATCGAGATCGACTACGATGCAGACGGAACTGTCTCGCTTGAGGAGTGGAAGCGAGGAGGGATGACCACCATTCCTTTGTTGGTTCTACTGGGACTGGACACTGTATGTGTGTGTGTGTGTGTGTATGAATGAGAGAGAAAGACGGGGGGGGGGGGGGGGAGGGGGGGGGGATGAACACAACTCCTTTGCTGGTTCTTCTAAAACTGTACGCACTGTACACGGTGTGTGTGTTTGTGTGTGTGTGTGGGAGAGAGAGAGAGAGAGACAGACAGACATGAGGATTTGACGAGAGGGAGTGAGTGAGTAAGAGGAAAGGGAGATTTATTAATTCTAGATTATTTTTAGTATTGTTTTTGTTATTACTTTTTTACTTATTGTTATTATTATTATAATTATTTCTATTATGAT